TGAATTCATTTCAATTAAAATTAAAATAGGTTATCTTAATAAAATTTTAAGTAATTTTACTTTATTTAATTGTCTAAAATTGTTCAAGATTGTCTAAAGTATTGTTTAAAGCTGCCTTATGATAATACTGCTATAAAGCATATAAAGTCTAGGCAGATCAACCCTTCTGAGTTGCTAGTTAAAAGTAAGAGAGAGATTAATAAAGAATCTGAGAAAAAAGAAAAATCCAAATGTGGATACTAGAGTTAGATAACCCTACAAGTGCATAGAGTACATAATGGAAGACTAATTAGAAAGGCAGTGGCTTGAGATATGAATTGGGTTATAGCAGTATTCAAAAAGATAACTTGAGACATGAACCCAGTAGTGGCAGTACAACAGATACTAGTTAGGAATAAGTTACCAAACATGTAGGTAAAAACATGTATGAAATATAGACTACTCTATTATATTTACTTTATAAATAGATTAGCCAGAAGTGGTTAGTAAATCCTAAGGTGAGTACAAAATCTATAGGTATTGCAAAACCTAGCTTATGAATAGTAAGTTGTATCTTGGTTAGATTGGAAGTAGATGGCAGTTGTAACTAGAAAGTTTAAATAAGTATCTCCATAGTTGAGATGCAGATATGACAGATAGTATAGAACCTTTGGGCAAACTACTTAAATTAGATACCAAAAGTGCATGTGTGGCTTGATGTATCCTTGTTGTAATTGTAATCTGAAGTTGACAATCTAATAAAAAGTCCCAGCCGTAGAGGTCACCTTAACACCCAAAAAAAAATAATAAATTTGAATTACTAAATATAGAGAATTAAGCTTTAAAATTATTCAATTTAATTTAAAAAAAAAGAACAAGACTAGATGGTGCCCATGCACTATATGCTCCTTACTATAAAAATTGCTAATATCTCAAAATTTTACTAGAGTAACCCTGTTGTGTAACTAATAAAAAATATTCCTCTCACAATTTTAGCCTAACCCTAACTCTAACCCTAGTGTTAGTCTTTATCTTTGTTCACTATCAAAACTTAGAAGGGGCACAAAGTGCATAGAGGCACCATTTAGATTTTTCCAAAAAAAATTATATTATAATTTAATCTAAAATCTATATATTAGGCCAACTTTTTAATAATCTATTAAAATATATTTTTTAAATAAAAAAAAAAATTAAAAAAATTCTATGTAGTAGTTTTTGAGAAAATTAAATTTAAAAATTTAATATATTTTTATAATACAGTATTTTATATATTTTACTATATAAACTATATAAATTTTAAATTAAAAATAATAAAAAAGTTGTTATTAATAATTAAGCAAAGATATTATTTCTTTTTCATACTTCAAAAATTATATTTTTTAAAAAAATTATTAAGTTTATATACAAAAATATTTTATTAATTTTTATCTGATGTACTAATCTTTTTGCACCAAAATATATAGTTGATTAGAAGATAATTTTTAAAAAAATATTAATTTTAGTAAATTTAAAAAAAAGCATATAAATTTACCAATATTAATTTATCAAAGTCTATTTAGTTAATCTTGCATAAACATAATTTAAAAAATAAATATTCTCACTCCCTATTAATTAAATGCGTATATAATTAATTAGAGAGTATGAATACACTTAAAAGCATAGTAACTTTATATTTACTTTTTACCAATTTCTATAAAAATTTTGATGTCCATTCATCATTTAACTTAATTTTCAGTAATTTATTAACATCTTCGAAAGGTTTGTTTTATATTTTCCCATTAGATTAGGCATCTCATCGATATCTTAGTATAAATTTGCTGTTTGGTTCAATTGCATCTTCATAACTTTCTACAATAAAATTAAATTTTCCTCGAAATTTAAGTGCAGTATCTTTATTGAGTTTCGGTGGATTTTAAATCTTCAAGTGTATATATTCATTGTATTCATGTCGTATTAATAATTCTATCCATCTATTTCATCACTAGTAGTCTTTATTTACAAAGAATTGCAGTATTAAATTACTAACCAAAAAATTTAAGCATTTTCTGCATATTTACCTAAATTTACTTTTATAGGTCCATCTTGAGATCTCAATCCAACATAAGGGTACAAAATTTCTTTAAATTTAGGAATAAAGCACCCTAAAATTTATATTATAAACTATTAAACCATTGTGATATGCATGATTTAAACAACAAAACTATAAAGTTTGTGCAATAACTTTCTGGGTTTATACCATTTTTTAGTATAGAGTACAATGCTATTTTTAAAACTTAAAAAAGATCCAATGATATCGCCAGTAGAAAACGATGACACTCAAGGATTGCCAGCAAAGAAATTATCATTATTTCCATATACCCAAGAACCATCTTCCTATCCTATGAAAAGAACGTAAATGAATATATTCAATTTAGAAAAACAAAAAAAAAACAAATAAAGTTTTAATCACCAGGCATTCTATTTAAATAAACCACCTTTTTGCAAAATCCAATTCCAATAATTCTTTTGAATAGAAGTATGTAAAGAATTATATCAAAATTTAAATGAATTTATTTAACTTATGGTAATATAGCATTACAGAAATTCGATTTATACATTATGATTACACAAGATTTTGCATATCAAAAACATAAGAAATAGAGGTACAGCTCATCAAAAAATCGTCCAATTCCTACGAAACTTTGCTGGAATTCTATGACCGTAATGTAAACGATTTGTCAAACTCATCTCGCACTTCTCACGATCTGGATGACTTTGATAAGACACGAGTAAGAATATATAAAGGCATATACAATGCCTATGAGCGAATATATAGTTATATGGCTGCTAAGCAGATAATATAATATTTGCAAAAATTTTTTATCTATCCATACTTATAAAATTCTTATCTTATAAACGTTTAGGTTACACATAATAGTTATAAGAAATGCATATACCGTAAATTACCGCATAAACCACCCCGGGTCTGTTACTTTAAACCTGCGTGAAAATTGATTCAGACCCGGGGGTCTGCTGTACGGAGGAGGGTCTGTTGTGAGGTATAAAGATAATTGACCACTTAAAATCAAGCGAAAGATGAATGAAAGATATACTCCAAGTATACCTTAAATCTTCGTAATATTTGGATACATCAGTCAACGTTTTACGTAGTTAGGAAATTGATATCACAAATATATCACACAATTGACAATAACTGCAGTTATTTGTCGAAATTTTTAGCGGATAATCAGTTGTTGGCCGCATAGCGGCCAATAACTGAAAATCTATCCGTCAAACATCTTGACAAGTAACATTATTATTCGTCTAAGATTAGCTAGATGTTAGTCGGCCGAGATAGCGGCCGAACAGCATCTAACATATCTTTGACGAATAATGCAGTTATTGTTCATTTACACGCCTAGTAACGGTACGGTATTATCCTTCTGTCTACGACGATCTACATATAACGTTCTCATGTTATTCAGTAGGTAATTTGATCTCTTTATACACCTAATTTTTTTTCTATTTTCGAAAAGCATTGCACGCATGTGATAATTTTTTATTTGGATGCATCTGGCTATTAGAGCCAGATATTAAACTTTAATACATGATTTTTATTAAAATAAGCAGCATACATTAGTGCAATTGATGTGTAAACCGAGACGGTATATGCCCCCCAGAAAATAGCATATTTGCAGCCGGGTATCGCCGTCATCAGTTGAATTCGCGATGCGTAGCATCATTCGGTGGTTTTCCCACCTTCATAAGGCAGGCCGACTTTGAGAAGAAGATTAAGCTACCACAAAATGGCAGGATTCATGTGGGTTGGAGGGTTCGGGTACGTACGAATCTTGCTTCAGGCGGCGATGGTTGCTAATTTCCTTACTGCAGCATCTTCTTTTCCTATAAATTTGTTCTAATAATAATTCTTCTAATAATATTTGTTTTAACGTTACTCTTGGTTGTATATGCCAACAAACATGTCGGATAATCAGGATGGTAAGATAGACGGGTTTATATCAATGACTTATATCTTATAAACGCACTTAGTAGATTAATTTAATGATAGTATTGATTTTGGAGGTCTAGTAAAGATATTTTATCATTTCAGATAACATAGGACAATCCACATCCCAACACAAATCCAAATGAGTAGTGATTACAACTACGACTGATGAAAATATAGAGCCAGTTCTATCGGAAGAATTACAGAAAGCCTATAATGCTCTGCCTTCAAAGTGTGCTGTATCTTACTATAATCTTAGAGACAACACTGCTAAAGTAGCTTTTTTTGAATCTATAATAGCAGTGCGAAAGGACGAACGTAAAAAGGAGTATGTTTTGTTCTGTTTATGTTTTTATTTTATTTATTTCATTGTTAAACAATTTTTAAATAACTATTTAACTATTTAGATTCTTCCCATTCTCAATTTTTTTAAACTTATATAATAGGAATCAACCATTAACTTACTTGTTAATTTTGCCGTATTTGTTATTGTTGCTTGCTTATGGTTTTAGATCGTAAGAAGGGTTTTAGTAAAAAACGTTTTTCTTAAAAATGTAACATACCGTATTTCGTGAAATAAGACGTTATTTTGAATGTTGGCCCGAATTAAGCTTAATTCGGGCCAAATTTCGAAATTACAACCCCCTGCGTGTTATTTCGCGAAAATACGGGTATTCATCAGGATTTTGGGTCAAAATCCCAAACAACAGGCTATCGAAAGAACATAACACAGACTAAATTGGCCAGCATTATAGCTAGTGCCGGCTAACTTTGTCGGTATTATGTTCTTTTCGGGAATCCGTTTTTCGGGATTTTAACCCAAATTCATTTTTGCTTATCTGATAATTAAAAGAATTTTTAGTAAAAAAGAATTTACAAAAAAATCTTTATCCTTTACACTATCTTGTGGGCAAATTTGTTTGCAAATTATCATTTCTAAACAAACACTTTATGTTAGGCGAATTCTGTCTTATAAACTCAATTGCTGGTCCAAAATCGATAAAATTTTGTACAATTAAATTAAATCACGAAGATGTAACTCTTATTGAGTTGTGCTACTCAATAGCGATAGTGATGCAAAATGCTAAATGGAACATTGCGCATTTAATAAATGATTTTAAATGTGAATTCAAATTTCAGACTCTTCTCATAGTCGTAAAGCACTATGAAAAGATCTTTATCAAAAAAGTTTCCAAAATCATAAACTTCAAGAATTACAAAGATGATGCAATGATATTATGTTAAAGTATCCTGATAAAACTTAAATCGGAAAACTTTGTCTATCTTCAAGATGCATTAGTAGTCAAGATTATTTACAAATGGAAGAACTAAAAAATTTGAAATCATGTTATCGAATGAGGAAATTGCTCAAAATCCCGACTTGCCATCAAATCTTGAAAACTGGTCCAATGAAAAATTTTCTAACTTTAAAGACTATTTCACAAAATTTTTTGCCTCACATTCGTTTTCTTCAGATATCTTGTGATAATATTCTTAGTGATATAAAACCATATCATCAAATTCTTGAAAAAAAAACTTTGGAAAGATATAATGAAAAAATTTATGATATCAAATTAGCAAATATCTTCAAAAATCCCTCCACTCGTGTAACTTTAACGCTAAATCATCTTCAACAGTTATCAATGAAGCACATGCTGCAAAAATCGCTTCATGGGTTGATAACAAAGAAAACGAATATTCAATAACAAATAATCAATACGAGTTTAAATATTATTCGTGGAACTAGAGATGGCTTTATCAAAGATTCATTTTGGAAATTATGTGATAAGCAAACACATCTTGTAGTTATGAAGGTTAAAGATGCTGATTAAATTCTTGGTGACTATAACTCTATCGATTGGATTAAACCAGTTAAACCGTAGCAAGGCTAATCTTGTCGGTTGAGATAAAACGTGGCACTATAAGACTTGCAATGAGTTTTATTTTTTCTTTGAAAAATGGTACTATTCAAAATTCTATTTTAAGTCACGTAAAAGAACCAAAATATGCAATGTGATTATGATAATGTTGGACCAATTTTTGGTTATGGATATGATTTATACATGTCGAATAAAATTATTCAAGGTAGAAAATCGGAATTATCTATCTTCATACAAAAACCGAATTAGAAACGCATTTACATTTGATAGTAATGACAGACATATTTTTCGGTAGGAAGAATATGAATTAATAAAAGTCCTAAAGTTTATGCTAATTAACTGAATAATTAAATATTATAAATAATAATCTATTTATTATATAAAAGTATGATTTTGTAAGTTTTATCTAGAATAAAATTATTCTATTTGACTGATATTTATTTTCTTTGAAATCTTTTAATTTCCTGTCCTTTGTGAAGATTGGATTTATAAATGTACTTACTAATCTATCAATTTATATTTACTTAAAATTTTATTTCCTAAAGTAAAATCTAATTAGATCGCGAAAGGCAAGTCACAAAATTTGATATAAGATAGATATATCAAGTGCCTAAATTGTTTTGAAAAAGGTAATTTAGGCAAACATTTGGCATTGCTATGAAACCCACCGAATAACTATATTCCATGATGTATTTTGATGAAAAGTGTTCAAAAAATTTCGACCAAATATGAAAATTAATTTTGGCAACGAGAAACTAATTTCGGCTGGCTAAACTAAATACCGTAATAATTTCTTATTAAGATAATAAAAAACATTACCGCTCTAGATTCCGTGTAATGTATACTAGAAAAATTAATTTTGCATGAACTTATTAATTCTTGTGAAGTTAACTTTTTTTATAATAAATTGACGATTTAATAGAAAAATAGCCTACTATTCAATTAATAAATTACTATTTTTCCATATGGAACTATGAAAATTTATTATAAAATAACAATTAATTTGTAAATTTAATATTCAGTATATTGCAAAGAAGCGGGATCACATGTATTTCGATATTTAATTTATATTTAATTACAGGTAAGAACGTTGATTTTATACGACTGATTTTTCACACGGTGTGCAACATATAAAAAAATAATTTTACAATAC